AGTGTCACCCCAGTGTAGGTGGCACTGGGGGGAGTTAAGCTCTGAGAGCCGACTGGTGACATAGGGCCTGGCACGGTCAGACACCACCATGTCCCATGGATGCCCACCACCATGGCCTCTGGTTGGACGCCAACGTGTCCCCTGCCCACCCCCCACCCTCGCCTCTACGTACTGGCCTCTGGTTGGACGCCAACGTGTCCCCTGCATGCCCACCACCATGGCCTCTGGTTGGACGCCAACGTGTCCCCTGCATGCCCACCACCATGGCCTCTGGTTGGACGCCAACGTGTCCCCTGCATGCCCACCACCATGGCCTCTGGTTGGACGCCAACGTGTCCCCTGCATGCCCACCACCATGGCCTCTGGTTGGACGCCAACGTGTCCCCTGCATGCCCACCACCATGGCCTCTGGCTGGACGCCAACGTGTCCCCTGGCCACAGTCATGTCCCCAGCCAACGGACACCCGGAGCAGATGCTCCATGTCCCCTAGATGAGGGATGCTCCGTGTCCCGTAGTTGAGGGGACCCCATGAGGACACTACCATGTCCCAGGCCATGGGGTTCCTCAGCTGGGCAGATGCTCCACGTCCCCAAGACCCCCAGGGGACTCTGCCACGTCCCCAGCTGCCCATGGGACCAGGCAAGACCCCTTCTTCCACTGCCTGCCTTCCCTTGCAGATTGCCCAGCTATCGTGCCCCGGTGCATGTGGGGTGCCCGTCCCTACCGGGGCACCCCCAAACCCTTGACCCTCCCCTTGGGTTCTGTCTACATCCACCACACCTCCACACCCAGCGCCCCGTGCCGCACCTTCGCCGCCTGCGCCCGTGACATGCGTGACATGCAACGCTTCCACCAGGACACCCGCGGTTGGGATGACATCGGCTACAGGTGGGACCCCCGTCACCCTCACCGCGCTCCCTGTCACCCATCTCCAGGCAGCTCAGGGTGACCCAATGGGTGCTTGCAGCTTCGTGGTGGGGTCGGACGGGTACCTGTACCAAGGCCGAGGTTGGCACTGGGTTGGTGCCCACACCAAAGGCTACAACAGCAAAGGCTACGGTGTGGGCTACATTGGAGACTTCTCGGCCACCTTGCCGGACGCCGACGCCATCGCCCTGGTGCGGGACTGGCTCCTGCCCTGCGCCGTGCGGACTGGCCGGCTTCACCACAACTACACCCTACATGGCCACCGCCAGATGGGTCACACCGACTGCCCCGGCAACTCCCTCTTCCGTGAGATTGAGACCTGGCACGGCTTTAAGGTGAGCACCAAGCTCTGTGGCATCTCCGGGGGTCGGAGTTTTGGTGCCCGGTTGAGGCGTCTGGGCTGGCCCGGCTGGGAGGATGGCGGTTTGGTGGGGGTGGAGGTGGGGGGTGATGTTGGGACTGATTGTGGTTTCTTCTTCTCCTCTGCAGTGAGGACTGGCCCCGGGGGTCCTGGTCTGGATGGGTGCAGGCAAGGTTGGATCATGGTCTGGGTGGTTGCAGGCAAGGTTGGCTCATGGTCTAGATGGGTGCTGGCAAGGTTGGCTCATGGTCTAGATGGGTGCTGGCAAGGTTGGATCACAGTCTGGATGGGTGCAGGCAAGGTTGGCTCATGGTCTGGGTGGGTGCTGGCAAGGTTGGCTCAAGGTCTAGATGGGTGCTGGCAAGGTTGGCTCATGGTCTAGATGGGTGCTGGCCCAACAGATAATGGTCTGGATGGACCCTGGTCCAACAGATGTTGGCCGAATGGACGCCAGCCTGGATGGACCCTGGTTCAGATGGACGCCACGCTGATGGACGCCAGCCTGGGTGGACCCTGGCTGAGGTGGACCTTGGGCCAATGGATGCCATCAGGGATCGGCCCTGGTCCAGGTGGACACCAGACCAATGAATGCCAGCACAGACGGACCACGGGCCTGGTGGACACCAGCTCAACGGATGCCAACCCTGATGGACACTGGCCCAGAAGGACCCTAGCCTTGAAGGCTACCATCCTGGACAGATCCTGGCCCAGCTCCACTGGCCCAGCAGACCATCCCCGTAGCCAAAATAAAGTCAGTACCAGGCCATCAGCTTTGGGTGGTCCCTGGAGAGTGATGGGGAAACTGAGGCACAGGGTGGGGGTTGGCCATGGGGTCATAGGAGAGGACTCGAGCGAGTCACCCAGGTGCCCAGGACCTGCTGCAGGGCTGGGTGCTGCGGCACACACGTGTACGTGTGCGCACACACGTGTACTGTGCCCAAGCTGCACTGTCCCCCCTTAACTCAG